CTGCTGCTTGCAGAAGTGTTGCCAATATACCTTTTTTATTTTAATTTATATAATTTTTGTTCTTATTTTGTTCTTGTGATTTCATAGGCAATGTCTGTTCTGACACTAATATTAGGTACTGAAATAGTAATCAAATAGTCACAAACACACTGACAGGTGAACATATTCACATGCCTTGGTCACATACTATTGTCTAGAAATATATACAAAGTATTTATAGGCCTCAGCAATGTTTTAGACATGGTGGAGTATATATGAAACTCCTTGAAGCACGGTGTAAGACGAGTGTTACTCCACTGCTGCATTGTCAGCATTGGAGTGACACCTGATCATCAAGCACTGCTCCAGGGAACCATGAATAACAAAAAAAGGCACAATACCGTGACTGGAATGATACACAAATAACCCGCACATAAAAGAGAGAAGCTTATGATGACGTTTCGGTTCGACTTGGACCATTTACAACGTCACCCTAACCAGAAGTGGAGCAGGACGGCTATATATAGGCAGGAAGAGGTGGTGGTGGTAGTAGTAGTAGTACAAGAATGGTATATAATACCGACAAGATGAAATTAAGACACATGCGCAACACCCGGGCATCTCTATCGTAGACGCTTCACCATCCAGCCAGCCACTGGATGGCAAAACGTCCACCCAGACCATGAATATTTGTTTGCACTGTTATGCAAACATGTCTGTCTGTGTCTGTGTATCTGTATCTGTGTCTAGCTCTATCTGCTTATTTGTTTTTCTGTCTGCCTGTTTGTGTCTGTCTTCCTGTCTCTCTCTGCTTGTCTCTGTCTCAGAGAGCTGCTCATGAACCAACAGGTATTACACACAATGCAGAATCATGTCTGAATCCTGAACAAGTGAAAATGTGTATTATTTGCTAGTCATGCTTATTATGCCTTATATCTACAAGCACACTACAGCACTTAATCTGGATTTTTGGGTTATCCTAGATAGTTTACACTATGTATAATAATTATTTATGTGTACCTATAAGACAGATAGACAGCCGAAGTCAATCAGCCAACCACCCACCCAGCCAATCGGCCATAATAAAGTGATCGGAATTTGGCAATTTGGCCAATTTAATGCAAAGTTCAAAATACAGTGGACCCTCTCCCAACGAACGCATCGCGTAACATTAAATCCGCCTAGCGATACATTTTAACACAAAAATTTTGCCTCGACTAGCAATAAAAAACTCGACCAACGTGATTCGTTCCGTTCAAGACGCGTCCACGTGTGGCCTGAGCACGCCTCACTTGTCCCGTGGGTGCCAGTGTTTACAAGCCAGCCACCGCGGTCGCATCCAAACATGCAATCGGAACATTTCATATTATTACAGCATTTTTAGTGACTGCACCTGCAAAATAAGTCACCATGGGCCCCAAGAAAGCTTCTAGAGCCAACCCTGTGATAAAAAGGGTGAGAATTAGTATGGAAATTAAGAAAGATATTGAAGGGTTTGGGGCTAACCCTGAGACGCCTATGCCAGTTGTATAATCCATTGTGCCTACGTCAAAGATTAAGGAAATGTGTGCAAAGTGGGTTGAACTGCAAACCTTTATGGATGAAAATGACCCTAACACAGCTATTGCAAGCTGTGCTGGTGACTATTACAATTACCATGTTATGGCCCATTTTAGACAAATCTTAAAGGAACGGGAGGTACAGAGCTCTATGGACAGATATGTTGTGCGACAGAGGTCCAGTGACTCTCAAGCTGGTCCTAGTGGCATTAAAAGAAGAAGGGAAGTAACCCCGGAAAAGAACTTGACACTTCAAGTCCTAATGGAAGGGGATTCCCCTTCCAAACATTAACACCATCCACACTCTCCCCTCCTCCCATCTCATCAATCATCATCAGATCTTCAATAAAGGTAAGTGTCATGTAATTGTACATGTCTTCTTCAGTTTGTGTGTATTAACTCTTTCAGTGTCAGTCCCATAGATCTACGACTTTATGTTCAGGGTCCAAACCGTAGATATACGCCAAAATTCTAGTGGCATCAAATTTAGCGTGAGAAGACTGGTAGGCCTACATCTGAGAGAATGAGTCTGGGTGGTCAGTGTGCACACTATAGAAAAAATCTGGATGCCCGCATGGCACTGTGGGAACACCGCCAAAGTAGCTTTGTTCATCATGCCTGGCGGCAAGGAAGCTCTCACTCCCCACTCACTCTCTGGGCGCATTCTGACTCTCCTCTTCACAACTTACAGTTCTAAGACTGATGGAAGTAGAGCTGAAGAGGAATTCTATGGTTTTGAACCATATGGTACCATTGTACCATATGGTACAATGGTACCATATGGTACAATGGTGCCATGTCATACAATGGTATCATATGGTACAATGGTACAATGTGCCATATGGTACACTGTACCATACAGTACAGGGTACAGGGACCCTAATGGAAATAAGTGTCTGACTTTTTTGGGTTATCCTAGGTTCTCCAAACATATGCTGCTGAGTATGATATGCTATGTAACTTTATTTGTGTATAACTAAATAAACTTACTTATGATGCCACACACACTTGAGTAAGTTTATTCAGGTGTACACAAATACAGTTACATAGATTATCATACATAGCAGCATATGTATAAAATCCTAGGATAACCCAAAAAAGTCAGGGTGACTTATTTCCATAGGGATTCCTGTATCTGTACCATATGGTACCCTGCACTATATGGTACCCTGCACCACATGGTACCCTGCACCACATGGTACCCTGCACCACATGGTACCCTGCACCACATGGTACCCTGCACCACATGGTACCCTGCACCACATGGTACCCTGCACCACATGGTACCCTGCACCACATGGTACCCTGCACCACATGGTACCCTGCACCATATGGTACCCTGCACCATATGTTATCCTGTACCATATGTTATCTTGTACTGTATGGTACCCTATACCATTTAGTACAATGTACCATATGGTACCCTGCAACATACGATACCATGTACCATATGGTCAGTAGGATGTGTTGGTGGCAGCAGGCACCAGCCAAGACTGAGTGGCGACACAAGCTAGCTACTGACTCGGCAGTTTCCAAGACAAAGCGCTCTGTCATCCACCTCAAGTAACATGTCGAGTTCCTGTGCGTTTGTAAATATATAACATTACTAATATATAACATTTTTGTACATTTTTGTTGTAAACAATTATTGTAAACAAAATAAAGATGAAAATATTAGTGTGTTTGTGTTGAATACAACAGTACCATATGGTACCATTGCACCATATGGTACCATAAGGTACCATAGCACCATATAGTACCATTGTATCATATGATACCATTGAACCAAATGGTGCCATTATACCATATTCTACCATATGGTACCATTGCACCCTATGGCACCATTGTACCATATGGTACTATATGGTACCATTGTACTCAACACAATAACTGCACAAATATTTTCATCATTTCGTTTACAACTTATAAACAAGTTTTGTAAGCAATATAATGATAAACAAATTAGTGCAGTTATTGTGTTGAATACAATGAGTATACACTTATACAATATAGTTTATATTGGTCTCACAAGCCACAAATGTTACTAGAAAAAGAAAAAAATCAGAAAAGAAAAGAAAAAAGTATAAAAAACGTAAAATAAAAAAATGTGATTTTGCAGAAGTTGGGTCATTTTGGGTCAACTTCCCGCCGCTGTATCTCGGTAAGTACTGATCAGAATTTTTTTTTTTTTTTTTGGGTTTTATTACCTTCACAAAAATATCATCTTTAATTCTGTAAGAAAAAATAATTTTTTTTTTTTTCAAAACTTCTTGGACACTGGAGCACCACTTCAGATTTTGGCCTTGAACCCTGAAAGGGTTAAAATTAATATTTCATGTGGTAAATTTTTTTTTTCATACTTTGGGGTGCCAGGAACGGATTAATTTGATTTCCATTATTTCTTATGGGGAAAATTAATTCGGCTAATGATAATTTCGCCTAACATTGAGCTCTCAGGAACGGATTAATATAGTTAGGCGAGGGTCCACTGTATTCCAATTTTAAAATAGGGTCCAGAATAAACAATGCAGGCATTCCTGGCACTAAACTAACATTTCCTCTGTTCATTAGTTACGTTTTCAGGCTTTACAAATGAATTCCATTTTGATTTTTTATTCACAATGAATTTTTATTCAAACCAAAAAATAGAAGATTTACTGTTATGCAATATTGTAATAATTGTATAAATAATATCACCACATTTGTGAACGTATATTAGACCCACCAGCTGGTGTGTATTAGATGCGTGAGGCCATTTGTTTACTCTTGAACATTGGCAAAAATTTACCATTTCCACTACTTTGAGCTCAGTTTCAAGCCATTTTCAATACTAAAACTAATCAAAATCATCTCTATTTCTGTAATGTATCTTCCATTCTATCAAATGAGACCAAGAAATCGCAAATACAACTATAAAAAAACATACGAAAAAACACTGCAAAGTCGCTGTTTTAATTGAAAATTATGGTCTCAGTTTTTTTCTCTCATTATGCACTGTGCTGCAGGATTTGTTTTATGTGGTGCATACATACCACATAGATGTATTGTCTCGTATCTAGGCCCAAATTTACCACTCACAGCTTATCAGAGTGAGCTGAGCTCACGTCGTAGATCTACAGTTTGGACCCTCAACGTTAAGCTGTAGATCTATGGCACAGACCTGGAAAGGGTTAATACATGACACCAGTGAATCTCTCATGTTTGCTACACTGTTTGCTCTAGCTGGCACTCAATTGAACTGGTGCTCCCACAAGGTACTAAGTGTTCCCAGACTTTTCTAATACTGCACATACCGAGTGTTAAGACCCATTCCATACTGACCAGGCATCTCAGGCCAACTGTGCCATATCTGGAGGCAGGAAAAATAAAATGTTGATGTACTTTTGAGTGCTAATGGTAACAATGCAAATCTACATTTGGACAGTTTAAGGGCTAAAAATATAAACTTTATTCAAAACTGGCCTGATTAACAGCAATGTGCAGGTTTTTTACAAGTGATCTGATGAGAGAAGACATCTTGCTCTGAGACACCACTTGCTCCATCATTCTCTCAAGTCTTTGTTCTGTTTTCTTCTGCTTCCCTTCTACGCTTGCCAATTTATTTTTCATCTGTAAAATATGAAGATGCATTAAGGTAACTTCATTTATTTACATACCCGGTATTCATTTTTTCACATTTAGTACAGTGAAACTTCACTTTTTTTTAATTTAATTCGTTACAAATGTCGATTCGACAACCACCAAAGCAATTTTTCCCATAAAGAATAATGTAAATAGAAGTAATCCATTCCAGACCCCCAAATGACAACACAGCCTCTCCTCACTTAGTGATGTACTCGTTTACCGATGCCTTGGACTTATGACAGGCTCTCTGACCAGTATTCATACCTAAATAATGTATATTAGAGCTGATTTCCACTATTCTGCATAAACATTTAAAAATATACTAAAAATGTTATAAATGGTGCAAAGGTGACAAACTCACTACTACAGTGGACCCCCAGTATTCGATATTAATCCGTTCCTGAGAGCTCATCGAATACCGATAATATCGAAAACCGAATCAATTTTCCTCATAAGAAATAATGAAAATCAAATTAATCCGTGCAAGACACCCAGAAGTATGAAAAAAAAATTTTACTACATGAAATATTAAGTTTAATGCAATAGAATAATTACAATAACAATAAAATAATTGACACTTACCTTTAATGAAGATCTGGTGATGATTGATGGGATGGAAGGAGGGAAGAGATGTTAGTGTTTAGAAGGGGAATCCCCTTCCATTAGGACTTGAGGCAGCAAGTCCTTTTCCAGGGTTACTTCCCTTCTTCTTTTAATGCCACTAGAACCAGCTTGAGAGTCACTGGACCTCTGTCGCACAACAAATCTGTCCATAGAGCTCTGTACCTCCCGTTCCTTTACGATTTGTCTAAAATGGGCCATAACATTGTCATTGTAATAGCTGTGTTAGGGTGATTTTCATCCATAAAGGTTTGCACTTCAACCCACTGTGCACATTTCCTTAATTTTTGAAGTAGGCACAATGTATTCCACAACTGGTATAGGCTTCTCAGGGTTAGCCCCAAACCCTTCAAAATCTTTCGTAATTTGTATACTAATTCTCACCCTTTTTACCACAGGGTTGACACTAGAAGCTTTCTTGGGGCCCATGGTGACTTATTTTGCAGAAACAAGCACCAAACACAGTGATAATATGGATAATATGGAATGTACCGAATGTATCCTTAGATGCGCGCACACTGGCTGGCTTGTAAACACTGGCACACAAGGGGCAGTTCAGGCCACATGTGGACAGGTCTCGTATGAATCGTATCGAATACCGGGTTTTCAATCGAATACCGAGGAAAATTGTTTGCGATATAATGCATCGAATACCGGATTTATCGAATACCGATGCCATCGAATACCAGGGGCCCACTGTATTATAGTATGGTCGTCAATTAGCAACGAATTCGTTTAGTGACGTGGCCTCAGAAACAGAACTCTGTCGTTAAGTGAGGAGAGGCTGTATAATAAATTAGTAATGTATTGTAGCAATAGGTTGGTAAACAGCAAACACCCAGGGAAGTACAACCTCTCCTCGCTTAATGATGGGGTTTCGTTCCTAAGAGTAGGTCAGTAAGCGAACTGATCATTAAGCAAGGCAAGAAGCATACTGTATTGGTAGTGGGTTTGTGTCAACTGTCTTTACATTTTTTAATATCACCTTTGCACCATTTATAACATTTTTAGTAGACAGTCTCTCCTCACTTACCAATGGAGTTTCATTCCAAAGGCCACGTCGGTAAATGAATTTGTCGCTAATCGAGGAATCGCTCCTTACTGATACTTTAGAAATGTCACCACTCAAAATTAAAATATCAGTCTTATGTTCGTTGTGAAAATGCTTTCAGTCCATTCATTATTAACAGTGATTCGCATAGCTGATTACTTGGGGGGGGAGGGGGTAAAAAAAATTCACTTTTTTTCCATCTTTGCATAGGATAAGTGATTTTTTATAGTTACCCATTAGGTGCATAATGTTTTCTGTAATAGTAGTGGTCTTTTTTTTTTATCCCTCCCGGCTCTCCACCGTCCACCCTTCAATACCTCTTCATATGTCATTTTTTTATTCATTTGGACATCTTTATCATACTTCTATTTTATTTATGTTTTACCTAATATTATTCTGTAATAAATATAATAGGTAACCTTTATTGACAGTAACAGCATAATTATACAGGGTTTTATAGTGCCATGAGCCCATGCCTTCTCCCTCTCTCATATAACCCCACCAACTCTCCAATAACCCTTCATATGTCAGTTTTTATTAATTTGGGCACCTTTATCATGTTTCTACGTTATGTTTCACCTAATATTATTCTGGAATAAATATGATAGGTAGATAATGTTTATTGATAGTAATAGCATAATTCTATTTTATAAAGGGATAAGGCATATCTCCTTACGGCATGGGATTGCATCAGTTACTGAGACACTGCTCGCTTCTCTCACTGCTATAGCTAGCTCCACCCACTTTGTAACAATGCCAAATGATGAATTAAACATGTATATTCGAAAGAAAAAAATAAATAAAAAGGAAACTCCAACGTGATAACTTCGTTTTAATCTGCATAACTCTTACATATAACAGGAAACAATAAAAGAGTAAAATATACATACAGTCCACTTATTACTTACCCTAAAATATTTGTAGTCTTAACCTTTAAACCGTCCAAACATAGATCTACGTTTGTACCGCTAGCACTCCAAATGTAGATCTGTTTTATTTTTCCTGTCTCCAAATTTGGCATGATTGGCCTGAGATGCCTGGCGAGTTTAGAATGGGTCCTAACACTCAATGTGTGCAGCATTAAAAAACTCTGGGACCACTCAGTATCTTGTGGGAGCACCAGTTCAACTGAGCGCCAGTTAGAGCAAATAGCGTGGCAAACACCAGGGATTCACTGATGTCATGTCATATTAACACTCCCCTTTTAAGAGGAAAGTGATGAATGTGGCCACAAGTGGCTGAGGAAATATCAAAAACCTCAATAATAACTCATGTGTAACATTTGTGCAATGTCCTTTCATTTTTGATACCACTGGCTGTCTGTGTCTATGTCTGTGTGTCTATATCTTTGTCTCTCTCTCACATGTACACCTAAGTACAGTTATTATACATAGTGTAAATTACATAGGATAACCCAAAAATTCCAGGCAAAGTGCTGTACAGTGCTTGTAGATATAAGACATAATAAGCATGACTGGCAACTCAGTGGCAAGTAATACGCATTTTCACTTCATCAGGAATCAGATGTGACTACTGCATCATGTGTAATACCTGTTAACAAGCTGCTCTCTAAGATTGAGAGACAAGCAGATGGAAAGACACACACATACACACAGGCAGATAGAAAGACCGAGACACGCAGGCAGACAGAAAGACACACACACACACACACACACACACACACACCACACACACACACACACACACACACACACAGGAAGACATAAGCAGAACTAGACAGATACAGATAGACAGACATACATGTTTGTGAGTAACAGTGAAAACAAATAAAGCCAGGGTTCCCTGCAGCAGTGCACTATCATGTCACTCCACTGCTTACTCTGTCAGCAGTTTGGCGGTACTCGTTATAAACACCATGCTTCAAGAAGTTTCACATATACTCCAGCATGTCTAAAACATTGCTAAGACCTATAAATACTTTGTCTACATTTCTACACAATAGTAAATGACCAAGGCAGGTGAAAATGTACACCTGTTGGTGTGATTGTGACTATTTGAATACTATTTCAGTACCTAATATTAATGTCAGAACAAAGATCAAGGGTTTCTAATATAGTTAGAGCTAAGGAAGGAGTAGCGACCATATAAGATTAGAGACGTATGAGGACTGGAAGGGCTGACAGATGTAAATGCTAGTGCATACAGATATGAATGTCATCCGCCCCAGCTGCCAATGATCGGCAAGCGGAGGAGTGTGTTGACTAATTCTAGAAGCATAAAAGGCACTTTTCTAGGTAGTAGGTTGGTAGACAGCAACCGCCCAGGGAGATACTACCGTCCTGCCAAGTGAGTGTAAAACGAAAGCTTACGATTGTTTTACATGATGGTAGGATTGCTGGTGCCCATTTTTCTGTCTCATAAACATGCAAGGTTTCAGGTATGTCTTGCTACTTCTACTTACACTTAGGTCACACTACACATACAAGTACAAGCATATATATACACACCCCTCTGTGCTTTCTCCTATTTTCTTACTAGTTCTTGTTCTTGTTTATTTCCTCTTACCTCCATGGGGAATTGGAACAGAATCCTTCCTCTGTAAGCCATGCGTGTTGTAAGAGACGACTGAAATGCCGGGAGCAAGGGGCTAGTAACCCCTTCTCCTGTATATATTACTAAATGTAAAAGGAGAAACTTTCGTTTTTCCTTATGGGCCACCCCGCCTCGGTGGGATACAGCCGGTGTGTTGAAAGAAAGGAAAGGCACTTTGCAAGTCTCTTCTCCATTAGAAGAAAAGTCTAATGGCTCAGACTCTCTGGCAGATTTGGAGGAAAGGAGGGGCAGAGATGCAGCCCCTAGGAGATACAGACAAGATAGTGACCAAGTTCAGTGACAACGTCAAGAGAGTTAGCTATAGTGACATTGGCAACAAGAAGGATGAGAGCCAGGTCAGGAGTGTATTTGCCACTCAGTTTCCGTACTTTTCTCCAGATTCCACTCATAAAGGAAGCTGAAGTGATGGTATAGACAATCCCGCCAACAAGTGCGTTTAGCTTCATGGATGCACAGCGGGCAGCTGCTCTCATCTGCTTAGAAATCAAGGAGGCACTCTGTGGTCCTACTGTACCAATAAGTGCCCCATGCAGCATGTGTCAAACGTATTGCACGAGCACAGGCAAGAGACCACCAAGGCACACACCTCTGAGAATGCCTGCCCAAGGTTTGGTGTACAGAATGTGAAGCCGCTGTTAACCCTTAAATGGTCCAAACATATATATACGTTTTTTCAACATCTGAAAGTATGTAAAAAATGTAGATGATCTTTTTTGTTTTACATTTGAAAACGTAAAAA